GATACAAATGTTTTTACTCATATTAAAAAACAAAACAACAATAAGTATCTTTGGCATTAACTCTGCTTACCAAAAAAATAAGCCAATTTTGGTCTCTCCTTCAAAAACAAGGACTCCTGTTGGAGTTAGTCCCAAGCTATAGTCATTCCCGTCTCTAGCCTAATTTAGGGAAAGCAAAATTGGTTAGTTCCAGTTGCATAAAAGTTTCACATTTTCATACAACTGTTTAATTTTATTTTTACACAGAATGAAATTAATAACATAGATATTTTCAAAAATTAGAGGATCCACGTCGTGCAGAGCATGCTTCTTAGCTCAAGTAGATTCACGAGACTAAATGGGCAGTTTCTGTCCAGAGGTGAGATGAGAAGGCAGACAGTGCCAGGAGATGGTTGAATGGACAGGGGAAGCCCCGGGTGGAAGGAGGAGGGTGCTATCACAGTACAGGGAGAGTAATTAGGGTCACATTACAATGTATGTATGAATTTTTATAAGAGAGACTAACTTCAATTATAAACTTTCACTTAAAAGTACAATAATTTAAAAAAAAAAAAAACACACAAAACTAGGGACCTGGAAAAAAAAATTAGAGTATCGAAAATAACTTTCTCAGGAAAATACACGCATACTTTTTTAGTTCTATCAACGAACCGCTTTAGTTTTAAAGTAAATCTTCGTTGACAATGGGCAATTATATTCCCAAGACAAAGAAAGCTCTTTCCAGATCCTTCCCATGCTGCAATTACCACTTGCATCACAAAACTGTATAAAAGACTGCCTTTCTGGGGAAATGCAGCGGGTTAAACTAGACATAATTTAAGTCACCACACCAAGCAGCTCTGCAGCTCATCATACTCGTCTCAAACCATACGTCTCCAGCTGTGTCTCCTAAATCGCTGTTATTTTAGCGGCGCTTACTCCGAGCTTAAGGGGTATAAAGTAATATACTTTCAAGTGAGAAGAAGAGAAAGTGGTTTAAAAAAAATCTTTTTTAAACGTTTTCCACAGCTGGAAAAAAAAATCAGCTTCAAAGCACTACTATACTTTTCTTTGGGGTTTTGGTTGTTTCTCTTCCTTCTTAAAATTAACCTTTCAGTAGGATTCTAGTCATTCAGTATTTTACAAAAGAATCTTAATCTCTTTACCCACACATCCCAGACATTTTTCACAGCTGGAAAAAAAATCAGCTTCAAAGCACTACTATACTTTTCTTTGGGGTTTTGGTTGTTTCTCTTCCTTCTTTAAATTAACCTTTCTGTAGGATTCTAGTCATTCAGTATTTTACAAAAGAATCTTAATCTCTTTACCCACATATCCCAAACTGCACAGCTGGCATATCAAAAAACTGGTATGGAAAAGTCCCAGTCGCCTTCAGTCTCAAAGACTAAAAAAGAAACAGTATCAAAACACAGCACCCACCTTGACCACATGCATATCAACTCCATACATTTCCAGCCACTTGGCTTTATTCAGATAATTGGTTTCAGCTTGTGCTGGTGTCTGACCTCTGAAATTT